TCTGACTTCAGCTCAGGTCATGATCCCAGAGTCCTGGGATCGAGCCCTGTATCGGGCTCCCTGCTCAGTGGGGAGCCTGCTTCTCCTCTCCCTCTGCCTGCCACTCTGCCTACTTGTGCTCTCTTCTCTATCTCTGTGAAATAAATAAAAAAAATAAAATCTTAAAAAGAAAAAACCTTCAGCTTAAATGAGCTCTTCCTTTAATGAGCTTGCTGTTGCCCTAGAGAACAAGTTCTTTCTGGGTAGTCTAGTCTGGTTAGCCCATGCACAGGACAATTAACATTTGCAGTTAGCAGTTGAAGAGGTATAAAAAATTATTTACAATAGAATAGTATAATATTTCTCTCATAAAAGAAAGGAGGCAAAAATACGAAGTTTTTTTTTTTTTTTCACTCCTGGGATCTTTAAATTTTTCTTTAGGTCAGTGGTCTTTGAGGGGTAAGAAAGGTTTCTTTCAATTTTGAGCTACAGAAAATAAGCCATAGGACTCAAGGTAAATAGGCCAAGGACTGAATACAGGTAGATTTTTACTTTAATAAACTACTATTAGGAACCCTAGTTCAGCAGAATGAGATTATTTCCTTGGTTGGGTTGATAGCTCTTACGAGCAAAGTTTTGCATATGTGGATATAAAGACTGCTACTGCATGAAAAGTCCTGTTTAATAGAGCCTTTCATTAGTCCTGTTCATTGTGAAGTTTGTTTAACAAGTGTTTTTCTTTTGGTGAAATATTTATGCAGTGTCTGTACTTAATTATCTCACCAAGTTAATAGTTGAATATTCTTAATAAAATGTGAGGGTGTTTTTTCCAAAATGTTGAACTGTCAACTTCAATATATTTTGTATCCGTACACACACACACACACACACACACTATATATATATATATTTCCTATGAGGTACATAGTAATTGGATATTTAGTAAAGGCTGTTTTTTGGCTGTTAGGGGTATAAAATGATAGGTAGGATAAAAACTAAGAAGTTTAAGTACAACCCTGAATTTCTTCTTCCAAACTACACATATGTCATAACAGTTCACAGTGGGCAAGTGGTTTGGTCATTTTGCAAGATTTGAGGTTTCAGAGCAGTACCCTACCATTTATCAAAACCTCTCTTGAATCCACAGCAAGGAAGTACGTGTCATTGTCCTTCTGTCCCATAGTCTTTAACTATAAATGCTCCCAAAGTCATCAATGCAACGTTTTAGGTAATAGCTTAAACATTATTAAGACTATCTCATTGCATTCAGATACAGTTTGAGAGCAAGAACAAGTTAAACATAGGCAGAGCAGTATTTCCTCTTTCAGATGACATAGCTTGGAAACCAGCAAAACCCTCCCTTTGGCAAAACAGCCTTCCTCTTCCAGCAAACTTTGTGTGTATGTGCTCATGTGGCCAAGGAGGGGGAGTGGGCTTTCATGTAAATCAAGAATATAACCATTGTCTCTCTACTGGGCCCACAGCTTCTATTTGAAGGAGGAGGTGTGCTTACAAGAATGATGTTGATATTGCTTTATGCTAGTTAAAACAGGGTTCTACTTATAATACCAACTCTAGTAGCTCCGATGAAAATTATGGGAAGCTTTTGGGAATCAGTGACCCTTGCCCTTCCAAATGAGTATTGAATGACCTAGGTATCTCTGACTGAGATTATCTTGTATATAAGATGGAACCCAAGGTCTTTTGGTACTGAAAGTGTCTATGTAGATTCCTTATCTAGTCTATTAAAAAAAAAAGAAAGAAACCCTAAGCCCCCCGCCTTTTTTTTCTTAAATTAAGAGGGTGTGCTCGGGGTGCCTGGGTGACTCAGTCAGTTAAGTGTCTGCCTTCGGCTAAGGTCATGATCCCAGGGTCCTGGGATTGAGCCCCATGGCGGGCTCCCCACTCAGAGGGGAATCTGCTTCTCTTTCTCCCTCTGCCCCTCCTCCTGCTTGTGCTCTCTCTCCCTCTCAAATAAATAAAATCTTTAAAAAAAAAAAAAGAGGGTGTGCTCAATCTTAAGATGAAATCATTAAGTCAGACTAGCTGGCAAAGTCAAAAATGCTACAGCAGAGGAAAAAGCCATACAGGAAGAAAGGATAGTAAAGGAAAAAGGACTCATGAATCCCACAGGGAGAGGCAGTTCAGGAGCAAACTAGAAATTGAGTGGCAAATGAAAATTAGAGCATCTTTTAAGTGAACCAGTAATAGATCTTTTATTTATCACAGGTAAGGAGCGAGCCAGAAAATCAATGGGCTCATGGAACATGAAGGATTAAAAGGAGATAGCAGATACACTGCATGACTTTTTTATATGAGTAAGCCATTCCTATGTTGACTATATCTTTTGAGGTAGGCAGATGGGTCAGCGGTCATAATGGAAAATGGGCAAGAGACTGCTTCCCAGCAACAAACTACAAGCAGTCAAAAACATAATGACTGGAACTAAGTGATATAGTTACCAGGGCTGAACCTCTGCAAAACTATTTAGTTGGCAAAGATTGTTTTGGTTTTTTGTGCCTCTTTCCCTCTACTGCTCTACTAACCCAATTCTTGCTCCTCTGAATGCTCAGGGTGCTCGTGCTCTAACCCTTTCAAAACTTGCTATGGAGAAAGCATACATCTCTGGCAGAGTGAAAGTTAGGAGGAGGGGTTGTGGCAAAATTCCACTTTAAAACCTATTTCTCATTGTAGAATAAAAGTGTATTTCCTGTTAAAGGAATTTCAGGCAACAGATGGGAGAGATGTTTGGGTCAGGAAGCCTTCCTGGCACCCTTGGAATCAGAAGTGCCTTCACATAACACCTTGACCAGACTGGACTTCTGAAAGAAATCAAAGGGGACAATTACTGTACCTCTAATGAAAACCCGGAACCTGTTATTCTGGATGATCACTGTGTAGATTGGTGGTGTGCCTCCATGAGGCAAAAGGGGCCCTGGGAACTATAAGGTGATGAGTGTCTGGTACTTTAGTAAGCAAGCTGGGAGAATCTTTAATCAGTGCTGGCCTCCTGTACATTAGGGTGGGGGCGGCAACATGATTTCTGTAAAGGGAAATCATATGTGATCGCCCGTGGGATCTTTTCTTTGGGGCTAAATTCACTTTTTATTTATTATTTATTTTTAAAAAGATTTTGTTTATTTATTTGACAGAGAGAGAGACAGCCAGAGAGCACAAGCAGGGGGAATGGTAGAGGGAGAGGAAGAAGCAGGCTCCCCACCGAGCAGGGAACCTGATGCGGGGCTCCATCCCAGGCCCCTGGGATCATGACCTGAGCTGAAGGTAGACACCCAACCAACTGAGCCACCCAGGTGTCCTCTAAATTCACTTTTTAAATGCTTCTAATTAAGTCCGATACCGAATCTATATTGAAACAGGAATTACCATGGGATTAAACATTTTTTTTTGTCCTGTAGTAGGAACTGGTTTAGAGAGACACACAGAGAGAAAATATAAAGGAGAAACAGACATTACGCTCATGGAAGGAGGGTGAGTAGTAGATTTCCTTGGGAGTGGGCACTCCCCAGGTCGGCAGAGAATACTCAGCTTTTCTAGTCAGTGAAATGCCAAAATGATGGGGGATAAAGGTAGATCTCAAGAGGTTTTATGGTTGGCAGATGGGCTTCAATAGGGGCATGTGTAAGGTAATTTATTTAGGGAAGGCCAGATACTACAAACTCTCCCTGCAGGATGATGGGTGCTGACTTTTCAATTAAGGCCCAGGAAAAAGCAAGCTCTAGGAAACCCTGTGGACAGAGCACTGAAGAGAAAAACTGAGTTTCTTGCTATGGTAAAAAAAAAAAAAAAAAAAGAAAAGAAAAAAGAAAAAAAAAAGGACAGCAAAATGTTGAGCACTCTCGAGAAGGGGATTAAAAGAAAAACAAAATAATTCTCCTTTTACACAGAACCACAGGATATCTTCATTGGTAAAGTTACATAAGCAGCTCTGATCTGCACATCTCAAGAAGGACAGAACAGAGCCTGAGGGGAACAAAGAAAGGCAATTAAAACCATCAATGGCAGGCTCCAAAAATAAAGGCCTTTTCAGTCTGACAATACAGAGGTAGCCAGGGGACATGATCAAAACCATGAAGAGGCTAGAGCTGCTGCATGATGACTTGGCTTGCCAAATCTCTTGAGCTAAGAGGCACCTTTGAAGCATCAAGTTTTTATTTTTTAATACTTCTGCTTTGTTTATACAACCGCTGATGATGATGGCTAGCGTGGGGTCCTTTGGGGAGTCCCCATTTCCACCAGAGGGTGGGAGAAATCTGAGCTGAGTGGGCTAGGAATCAAAAGCACCTCCATCCCCATTACTTACCTTAAGTAATGTTGACTTGCTGACTTCTAGTCGGACTTACTTTCTCTACTGCTGATGTCAGCAGCGAATTTGTACCTGACCAATCGCAATTTTTATGAATATGAGTCCCCCCACCTCCGTCCTGTAGGGCTTTTCAGCCCCAATGGTCTACACGTTGTAATCTTGGCACCAAACTGTCTTCCTACAAGTGGCTGTAATTTGATCCTTAACCACAGTAAAAAGAACAGATTCCTGACCCCAATTGTAACGCAAAGGACAGAACTCCAGAACTCGTAATGAAGAACTTTCTAATATTCACACCAGCAGGTGGAAGTAGATCTCCATAATGGGAAGCGGAAATGAACCCTTCCAGACTAATGGAATGACATACATGCAGGTTTTGGCTAAGAAAGTAGCAGACAAGGGATAACCCAGGCCAGCTCAGAAGCTCTGCTCTTGGGATGACCTTAATCAGATGGGGCAGCAGGTAAGATCAAATCAAGAGTGTGGCTCTGTTCCAAATGCTCAGCTCTCCTAAACAAGGGATGGCAACCTGATCAATTAATTACAATGAGCAGTGTACAAAAGCTACATAGGTATACAGTGGCTTTTTTTTTTTTTCCAAATTGTTCCTTGAAAACAAGAATTCTGTAAGATTGGGGGCCCCTTCATCCTACAGAAATGCAATCCACTTGTTACTGGCCCAGTGTTACTGCCATACCTTTCACAGATGTGGTAATACTTCTCATCCTGTATGCCGTCCTGAATGGGCACATTTACACTGTAGTACCGTCCCTTCCCTAGGCCAACATCAGACACGTCACCTGTTCCTGTGAAAGAGAGGAGCACCAGGAACAGTTTTAAGAACACGAGCATTAGAAAACTCGAAGGATTCTCTGATAGGAGTTCAGGACAGTAAGAGGTCAAGTAGAAGAATGGTCCTGGATTAGTGATGATTTCTGAGGGAATGAAATTAAGAAAAATAATACAGAGAAGTAACTGTTGTAAACAATTTTGGGGAAAGAGGAAAACCATAAGAAAATGGAAAAACCTTAGTTTCCACTTGGCTAGATCAAATTAAAGAACAGAAAAAGGTGAACTCCTTTGCTTGACTTTCCATATGTCTTGGATTGATATAATATCAGTATATCATTGCACTTATCAGGATGTTAGGAGTTACAAAGGGTATCTGATAGGACAGGAAGTATAAGTGACCTGTCTATTGACAGTCCATAAAAGTCATCTGGAGAAACAGTAGTACATTCCTATCATTGTCACCCGAAACGACCTGTGTTAAAATGTTGCACAGAGTAGCACCAATAAAGTACCAACAGCATGGAACTCTCCAAATATGAAACATAAGGATGTATAGAAGAGCTGTAGCATTTCTTCTTCAAATGTAACACTGAGCACACAGATTACTTGCCTGGGAAAAATCCCGGGGAGAATTTGTGCAGGGACACTGTCATGACTTTGGAGGTGAAACTGAAGGCATCTTCTACACCTACCAGAGGGGAAAAACAAACAGCAGAAGAATCACTTTATATATGCAACTCCCGTTTGCAACAACCGAAATGCTAGGAAGCAGCTGTGGGAAGTAAGAGGGAGGATAGCAATAATAAAGCTAACAAGCTGAGGAATAAAAGGAACAAGACCCTCCAGTCTTTGATCTCTTTTGTTATAGGATGAGGTAGAACTCTGGTCCCAAGTGAAGTTTTGGGGTTCCTTTTCAAATGCACGGCAAGTTATAACTTGACTTGCCCTTTCCAAGCAACGGGATGTCCAGGCTCCCTTAGACAACCTCTTGTAGGACGCCTGGGGGGCTCAGATGGTTAAGCGGCTGCCTTTGGCTCAGGTCATGATCCTGGGGTCCTGGGACTGAGCCCCGCATTGGGCTCCCTGCTAGGCGGGGAGTCTGCTTCTCCTTCTGCCCCTCCCCCTGCTCATGCTCTCTCTCTCTCTCACAAAAATTAATAAATAAAATCTTTTTTAAAAAAGAAACAAAACAAAACAAAAAACCTCTTCTAAAAGGTGTGGAAGGCTCGAGCTCAGAATCGAAGCATTATCAATAGGGAACTGGCACCATCTTGGAAGTTTTATGTTCTGTTTTGTTTCAGTGGTTCTAGTTAAATTCTTGGGATTTTTTTTTCCCAAAGAAGTACAATGTGGCAATCCTCTGCAATATATGACCAATACAAACATTAGGCATCATGTAGTGAAAACCTAATTATAAAGTGCTTCTCTATGATACAGATTTGGTTATAAGTGCCGTTCACCCAAAGTCTAAGCAGCTTAGAGTGTATCTTTCTTGCCAAAACAAGGAAGGCTAACAGTCCTGGCGCATCCCTTAATAGTACCTTTATAACAAAGTTTTAAAGCTTGAAGAAAGAAGGTTGGGGGGGTGCTTTTCTAGAAAGGTGTCTCCTTTCCATTTGAACAGAGGCAGAAAATGAATAGACGTCTGGGAGATGGAAGATGTAACTCTTATGAGCCACTACTTATTTCAGATAAATGCACTGCCCACCTCCACACCTTTCCTCCCAGAATCACATATTGTCATACTATATTCAGACAGTCCATTTGTAAAATGGAAGGACTATTAGCAAATTCATGTACTATCCTCTTCTATACTTCAAATAAAGAAACTGTCTCTGTGTTTACTTAATGCTTTCAGTCTTCATTAGAGGCCAAAAGAGACCTTAGAAAAATATTAACTGTATTTGTGTATCACAGGTATGTTTGAATTTCCCAAGCCTTATGTTTTGCCCTTGGGAGGCAGTTAAAACCAGTTAAAGGCTCCAGGCACAAGGCATTAAGTAAACAAAATAAAACAAAACAAAACATATTAAAATCGCATTTTAACTTAGAAACTGAAGTATAAACAAGGACAATTCATAAAAATCCTGATTATTTCTTGATCCACAAAGGTGGTACCAATTTATCCTTCTATCAGTGGTGTATGAGGGTTCCCATTTTCTCTCACCCTGTCAATGGGTGTTATTATTCTTTTTAAACTTAGGCAGAAAAACGGATCTTGTTTAGTTTGCATTTCTCTGAGTGTTAAGAGTGTTGAGGACCTTATCGTATGTTTAGCAGCTATTTGTATCTCCTCTCGTGGGAAATGCCATTAGGTATTGTTAGCAAATCATACTTTAAAAAAGGGACACAGACAGATAGGTGGAGGGTATGGGGCTGAGTGTGAAAGAGAACAGTGGTTAGGTAAACAAAAAGAGGTGAAAGAAAGTGAGGACAGGCTAAGAGTGCTAGTGAAGCCACCAGAGGATGCTAGTTATGGAATCATGGGAGATTTAAAATAAACCAAATGTGTAAGAGTTTGGAGGCAGGGCAGAGGTCACTGGAAGGGAGGTGCTGAAGAGGGGGAAATAAACTGAAATGAAACACACCATAAAAGTTGGGCTAAAACAGGAAACTCTAAATGGTGTAGAAATAACATTGCAAATGGAAAGAACGGTTTCAGGTGACAGTCATTTCATTCTTACATGGTTCAATTAGAGTTGATTCTAGAGCTCTGAGACTAACAGTTTGAATTTCATAATCATTCATTCAACAAATATTTTACTGAACCACTGCTATATGCATAGTTCTGTTTGTTCAAGCCATTGTGCAGGACAGAAAGAAGTAAACAACTTGATCTCTGCTCTGGAGGAACTGAAAGTTTCTATGGGAGGAGAAGACATAGACACATTAAAGAGTTAACTAACAATACAAGACAATATATAATTAAGTAGCAAGTCAGCGATATAAACAATATAGGACTTGAGGAGGGGAGAGAACACTTGGGCTGGAGAGGTTAGGGCAAATGTGCTACTGTTGGAACTTGAGCTCCTGGGGGGAACTTGGAGGAAAAAGCAAAACTAACTTAGGAAAGAGTAATGCAAAGTCGGGGGGGGGCATGGTGGGAGCACTGAGACATGTCTGGGGATCACTGAGTCGAGTAGCCTGGACAGCAGGTAGTGAGCGAGAAGACTGGTGACAGGAGACAAGGTCTCTTTGAGGCAGGCCTCAAAAGACAGGGCAAAGAGTGTGGACTTGACCTTGCAGAGCACTGCTTTTTTAAAGTGTGGCCTGTGGACTGGCTGGACTGCGGCTAAAAGGCAGCTTCTTGCGTTTCGTGACCGGACCCTACTGAATCTGAGTATCTGGTGGACATGGCCCAGGAATCTGCATTTTAAAACAAGTTTCCCGGGGTCACCATGCTACATATGCGAGTTTGAGAACCAGTGTTACAGGCCAAGGGTTAGCCGACCAAGGGGCTACATGGCAAATATTTTAGGCTTTGCCAAGCCTACATGGTTTCTACTGCATTTTTTTTTCTTTATGACCTTGTAAGAATGTAAAAAAAAAAAAAATTCTTAAAAAAATTGCTGGCCATACAAAAACAAGCCATGGGCCAAATGTTACCGTTGTTACAGGCAATAAGGAGCCTCTGAAGGTTTTTGAGCAAGGGTGTTTCGCGTTGGCTGAGGACTCAGATACTCAGTGGATGTGGTTCTCAAAATGGTAAGTTGGTTGTTTTAACTCTTTTCTGTTACCTTTAATTTTCTGTCACCATTCCATGGAAGCATCCATCTAGATGAACTCCTTGGGGAGGTCTCCCCCACAATTTCTTCCTTCTTTTTCTGTTTTGGCAAGAGAGCTGATCCTATCCCCTGTCATATACTATTCTTTTCCTCGCTTATACCTTGATTATGTTAGTTTGTCTCCCAAAATCCCTGGAAACAGGGAAGCAGCCATCACTGGTGGGGAGGAGAGGAGGGGCTACCCTTAATTAATTTTACTGGATAAGTGTTCCTAGGTCATCGGAAACATGTGCCACACACAGGATTTATTAAAGAAACAGCAAGTGGGTAACTGTCACTGAAGCTCTACATTCTAGATGGAAAGTACGTAGGAGGGCTTGGGTAGTATCCTTCCAGTGAAATCCTCTAAGGGGGCATTAATGGCCCGAGGCAAATCAAGATTCTGCTGCTGTTAAAAGTTACACCAGGTGGGGGCGCCTGGGTGGCTCAGTCGTTAAGCATCTGCCTTCGGCTCAGGTCATGATCCCAGAGTCCTGGGATCGAGCCCCGCATCAGGCTCCCCGCTCAGCGGGGAGACTGCTTCTCCCTCTCCCGCTCCCCCTGCTTGTGTTCCCTCTCTCGCTGTGTCTGTCTCTGTCAAATAAATAAAATAAAATCTTAAAAAAAGAAAAAGTTACACGAGGTGCCCTGAGTTTGTGCAGCACTAAATATTTTAGCAATACAAAGAAAGTGGCACAGATTCTGATCACTACATGAGTTGGTATCCCTATGGGTGAAAAATTCAGAGTGTTAGTCCATTATACACTCATTCAATCTTAAGAGTAGCAACGAGGCTGTCAGCTGTAACTGCCGATTTCACTTAGAACCTATGCAAGTGCCCTGAGGGAGGTGACTGAGCGCTGAGGACGCACTGGACAAGATTTCCACTTCTTATCGTTCCCTCCTGGAGAACTTTGCTGGTGGAGGAGAGGGGAGGGGAAATGACAGGAACCTGGTATTTTAGAGCATCTTGGTCAGCACAGGAGGAACTACGTCACTTAGAAGAATCTCTCTTCTACCACCTTACTTGAGGATTCTAGAAGAATTTCAACTGCAACAGGCATTTCTCCTTTTACCAGTCGCCTAGAAGCAGCTTTACTGATAAAAACCTTCTGGCCTAGCAGCAAAGCACCTTTGAAAGTGAAGGGCTTACCATCTCCATGGTGCAGATCCAAATCCACATAGAGAATACGGTCAAATTTCCGTCGCAATCGTAATATTCCCAGGACAGCATCATTGAGATAACAAAAACCAGATGCTTCATCTCTGTAAGAAAACAAGTTGCTACAGCCAACAGCCAAAAGCAATCCAAGGGAGTCTTTACAGCCAAGGCTCTAACCCTTGAGATCTATTCCAATTCCCCCTTCTTTTAAGAAAAACAAAAATCTACCTACACAGATTATATAGTAAATGGCTCAGAATGATCAGGGGACGGAGTGTTTTGGTAAACTACATATTCAGGTCAATTGGTAACATTTTCCAATTTAGGATCCCAGATTTTCAAAGAATTAGAATGTTATAACTAAATTGGACAAAACAGAGCTTTTCTCTAATGATTCAGGAATGATTTTGAAGACTTGTAGTACCCTGGGGTCGTCATGATGAACGCTGATCATCACTTACAGGACTTTAAGAAAGCTAGAATCTAGAAGGGGCCTTGAAGACCATCTTGCTCAGCCAGATGTAGAAGATGATGGAGATTGGAGTCTCTGTACTGATCGTATGACATAACCTAGAAGTTGTTCCTTTCTTTAAGTTTTTGCACTTGTTGCTCATAAAAGCTGAGTGTAAAATGTACAAATGCATAACCTCCTGGGCGGCATGTGGTTGCCTTTCGGTAAATGTGATTATTACAAGAGAGACTGAAGCAGCCTCCTCTAAAGTTACTGTTTCCTTCACTAAAATTGTCTTCAGTGACTTCACTGGTGTCCTTTAACTTTCTTGCTATTGGTGATACTGTGTCACTTTAACCTCTTGTCAACATTAACCTACTCCTCTATTAAGAGGGACCTACTCTTATTAGCCTACTCTTTTTATTAAGTTGCCATTAAGTCTTGTTGAGTAGATGTAAAAGAGCACTCTTTATCATCAAAATGTATTATAGTTTATTTTTAAGGCCTCATCCTAAATGCTTCAATCTCTTCCGCTTCCACAGACACTTTAAATATCCAGCCCATTTCTTCCCCAAGTTCTCCCTGATATTTGACTTGAAACAGAGTTCTAAGCATGAGCATCATTTAAAATAGCATCTTCAGTACTATGAGATTGTAAGATCTTTCTAGTCCACAATGCATAAACTTCTTCATGAAATCTCTTCCATAATAACGTTTCATATTCTGAACAATACCCTGGTTCACAGGCTGAATCAATGAGACAGGTACATTGGCGAGCAGGAAGTTGGTAAAAAATATCACTGAGCATTGATTTTTCTCATGAAAGTGAACTCAGTGATCATCTAGCAAAAAATAGCTTGGCCTTAGATATGCACCCAGGAAGAAACCAATATGAGAAAAAGATTGGCCCACCCACGAATTCTCTGTAAATAAGAGTTTTGGAAAGTTCCTGGATGCTGTTTTTGAATCATGAAAGGCTTACATTTTGTCAGTCTACTGTCTTAGCACAACAACAAAGAGAAACATCAATAACTTTTGGATAGGTAAGACAGGATATTAAGTGTTAGGCAAAAAGAGGAGTGTACAGCATAGGGAATATAGTCCACAATATTGTAATAACTTGGTATGGTGCGAGATGGTAACTGGACTTATTGTGGGGATCATTTTGTAGTGCATAGAAATGTTGAATCACTATCATGTATACCTGAAACCAATAGGACACCGTATGTCAATTATACTTCAATAAAAAATAAATAAGTAAAGAGGAAGGAGAGGGGGAGGAGGAGAAATACAAATCAATACAGGACATACTTTTTCCCCTCAGAGCCTACAAGGGAGACAAGTCATAAGCACAGAAAAACAAAACCAAAAAACAAACAAACAAGGCAAGCAGAAATAATATGGTATATAAAGAATACCTGCCTCTAAAAAACCTGGCCCCCTTCCTTTCCTCTGAGATGTTATTTGTTAATGATCATCCTCCCTATTACAATAGCTTAGATAATATTAATATTATTCTGTAATTCAGGAAGGCCTTTGCATGTAATATTTTCCTAATATGTTCTTAAAGGAGCTCTAGTCTCACTGGAGTATAGAAATAAGTGCTTAGATAAATAGAATATTCCTAACATTCCCAGAAAATAAGTAAACTAAACTTTGAAGACTTTTAATGTACTAAAAGAATATTTCTTTAGAAACAAACTCAAATGTTTTAAGAATTCAAGTTGGCATAATTTACGTAAATCTTTGGCAGACAAGACTAATTTAATAAATTTGGTTACTAAAATTGGCTACGTCTTTTCTAATTTATCAGTGTTAAGTATAATATACATGTAGATTTTTATCCTACTTGAGTATATTTTTCCTAAATTTATACAGGTTTACTAATTAAATGAGCTAACATTACTTCTATTAAATGTCTGAGACTATGACAAATGTAAATTTGTTTAGCCTAATCATTATTCTAACGAACTTTATTTCAACAGTAATTATGTGTTGTAGTATGTCAGCTTGAAGATAATTTACAAGATCTTTAGGTAACTGAAAACTTTGGGCTGATATTAAGTTGAGTTAATGGATATTCATTAGATACCTGTATCATTTCTAACTAAGAGAATGCATTAATTATTAAGCATAATTTTGGGTTTATATGCTTTTGCTTCTTTATTTTTACATGCTACAGAGAAAAACTCTATGTATTTGGGTCTGTTAATGAACATGTTCTTTTTGGCCACTTATAGAAGTTGTACTATAAAGGATGTGTATGCATCTAGAAAATGGCAGAAGGTTCACAGAAAGGGAATTTTATTTGTTGAGATCAAAGTTGGCTAAGGTTTGATGGGCTTATTTATCAGATTTCCAAAAAGAACTTCAGTATCAAAAATTATATGCTGCTGCAGAGCTAGAGTTTGGTTTTCTCTTTGTTAAAATGTAATTTTTTTTGCATTATTGGCCTTCTCTTAATAACAGGCTGTAAAGGTTTTGCTTCACTAAGTAATCTTCAATAACAGGCTGTAAAGGTTTTGCTTCACTCTCTAAGTAATCTTCCTCAATAAAAAAGATTTTGTGTCTTTCTAGAATAACCTTATATGGCTTATGTTGACTTTCTTATGGCCTTGATTATTTAAGAAAGCAAAGTCTTCTTACTTAGGAAAGAGATGAGGTTCTTTTTCCTTTTTTGTAAGATTTATTTATTTATTTGTTTGAGAGAGCTGGAGAGTGAGAGCCTGAGAGCTGGCTGGTGGGGGCGGGGAGCAGAGGGAAAGGGACAAGCAGACTCTGCATTGAACAATGGAGCCCAATGCCAGGCTTGATCGCAGGACTCTGAGAACATGACCTGAGCCAAAACCAAGAGCCGGTCATTTAACTGAGCCACCCAGCTGCCCCGAGATGAGGTTCTTTATGGTCATATTAGCTCCTATGTTTATGTTAAAAATCTTTTATCGTGGCTTTGGTTAAATAGAGAACCAAGTAGCATTTTTCAGTGATCCATCATCTTATCTTAATTGAATCCCAGAAGATCCTGGAAAATCACAAAAGATTTGTTCTTTCACCTTATAAAAATAGACGTGCTAGAAATAATTGGGTTTATTTGTTATGTTACTATTGATGAGATGCACAGGAAGAGTTGCCAAATCAGAAGAGATGCTCAGCTTTCCCAAGGTTAAATTGGTGTAGGCAAATTGTTATTAATATAAATATTTCAGAAATTGTACATTGTATAGGAAGTTCCTAAAGATCCATTAATGTCCTCACTGGCAATGATTTGTTTCTATTTGTCAGAGTCATTATGCTGCTTTGCCAGATTTTAGATGACTATAGTATAGTGTTTTCAGTGGTAATTTAAAAATTTTTTTAATGTTAACTTGGTTTCAACTTTTATCGTGAATCTCACATCTGCTAGGTCATTAGTTTCAATTGGGGATTCTCAGCATTTACCTATGGGATTTTATTAATATATAGATGTTTAAGACCTACTCCAGTTAACTGAACCTCTTTACTTGATATTCTTGATATATTTTGGGGAT